TGCGATATAGCAACGATGAAACATACAACTTTCCTGTAGTTCCTAAATGCTTCCTCCTCACCCACTATCATGATCCCAATTCTACCTTACAAATCGGCTAGACCAGAGGATGTACACTGGTACAGATAGGAAGTGGAAACACAGGGAATCCAGGGTGGATGATCCCTTCAGGACCCATGGTGTGAGTGGCGATACTGGGAGGGTGGGGTAGAGAGGGGGAACCCATTACAAGGATCTACATATAACCTCCCTAGGGGACAGACAACAGAAAATTGGGTGAAGGGAGACATCGGACAGTGTAAGATATGACAAAATAATAATTCATGAATTATCAAGGGTTCATGAGGGAGGGGGAAGTAAGGAGGGGAGGGGGGAAAAGGAGGAGCTGATGCCAGGGGCTTAAAATGGAGAGCAAATGTTTTGAGAATGATGAGGGTAACAAATGTACAAATGTGCTTTATACAATTGATGTATGTATGGATTATGATAAGAGTTGTATGAGCCTCCAATAAAGTGATTTAAAAAAATAACAACAATAAATAATTGATCCAGGATTCACGAGGGTGGAAGGGTGGAAGAGAGGGGGAAATGAGTTGAAAGACAGAAGAGCTGATACCAAGGGTTCAAGTAGAAAGAATTTGTTTTGGAAATGTTAATGGCAACATATGTACAAGTGTGCTTAATACTATTGAATGCTGGATTGTTGTAAGATTTTGTAAGAGAACACCCCCCCCCCAATAAAATAATTTTTAAAACTTCCATTTGGAATGCAGGTAATATGACAATATGGACTCTCATATCCTGATAATTTCCGAAATTCAGTAAGAGTAGGCTATAATTCAAAATGACCATAACAAATTGGACCATAACATATCGTAGTTGCAAAAGGAGGCCATTGAGTGGAAACATGTACTAAAATATATCCTTTGGGACTCAAAACGATAAATGTTTGGAATGAGGTAGAATCAGCTCTGACTCTAGAGAGGCTGTCAGCATTGACGACCACACCTCGCTCTTCGAGTTGAATAAAGATGCCCTGGTGACAGAGTAGTTATTAGTTGGGCTGCTAACAGCAAAGTCAACAGTTTGAGACCACCGACCTCTCTGTGGGAGAGAGATGACACGTTTTACTTCCTTAAATATTTATGTGCTCGGAGCCCCACAGGGGCAGGTCTCCCTGCCTTACCAGGTGATTGGGCAGTTGTGAGTCAGCACCTACTTGATGTCAGTAGATTTTGAGTGTGTACTGAGAGTGTTTACTGCCCTCTGTACTGATTAGATCCAGATTTGACACTTCCTCTCAAGTAAAATGGAGCAATTGGTAAAAATGGAAAGTTAAAGGAAGATGACTCAAATAAATGGAAAACTGCTCATAGGACTATCTGGAGGAAAAAGGGGGCAGGATTTCTCTGAACTTTTCAAGATGTAAAGGTCAAAATGGTGTTGGATGACTAGACTCAATTACCTGAGGTAGTTTTAAAGCAGATTCTATGAAAATCTAACAGGAAAATGGATTTAAATGAAATATTTCAGTTGTGCAGATGGATGACTAATTTGACTGCTGCCTTAACCTGTGCCAGAAGAGACTCTGGAATTTGCTACCCTAGAGAAAAACATAAACAAAATACAATTGCTATATTTACTTACCTGAGATTGAGGGCTAACTCACATGGTCTCTGGAAAGACCTTCCCGGTCTCCATTCTAACAATAATGTATCAGTCCACAGTATGGTATTAGTTTTGAAGTACTGCTTGGGGCTGGGTTAATATATTATTGACCAATGTATAGGAATAACAACTTTACATTTTCTTCACTTAAAAACTCACTGTACTAAATGGTTCCCTTTCCACTGGACTTTTCTCATCATAAATGATTGAATATTGCTTTGATGATTATTTTAAATAATAGTCTTAATTTAATTTCTGTATTGAGTAATTAATGCAAACTATTCACTATATGGTAGGTCCATCATTTTACTTTAATGTTAAACTGTATTACTAGAAGGAAATTGAAAGCTATTAGTACTTTCCCATAAGTCAGGGAGCCTTCCCTACTCCCCGAGTATATATTTTAACATTCTTTACCATTCTCCTCTTCCAAGTCACCATTCTGCCATCAAGGGCTAGTAAGGATTGAATGAGACAAAATCGTCTCCTTTCAGAATGATTGATCTTCTTTCGGAAAGTCCATGGGGCCAAATCCTCTTTCGCATGATCCATGGTTGGCTCTATTTTTAGGTCTCTTAATCTTACTTCTTGGCTCATGTTTGTTCTCATTCTTCGCAGGGCAGAGCTTACTTCCTGTTGTGATGCCGTCCACAACTCCGTCATGTCTCAAAATAACACTCCAGTTGGGAGTCAAATGAGTTACGAGGTGGACAGTAAGAGAAATATCCAGATTGGAGAATACATCTTTAATATGCTTCCCGTGGTGAGTGGAGACTTGGTGTGGGGGCTTTGTATCACCATCCTTGGTAAATCATCTCACTCTGAGTTGCTACTTGACACTTGACATGGGCTGAATGGATTAATTAAAGCTCCAGACTCTGTAATGGTTTTTAAAATGTGTATTGCACGGCACGTTGAAGAAATACTTTGGAAGGTAGGGGTCTCTGCAGGGAATGATACTTGTAACAGAAATCATGGCTCACCCGAGTCCTCGAGTCCTTCTGACTCACTCTTGAATGAGATGATGTACTTGGGATCTCTGCCTAATCATTGCCAGACTTGTGAAGATGACAACTTTTCACCTGAAATGAGATTCTTCCTGTTGTGTGTTTCAGTTGCTAAATCAATTCCTTCACAAAGATGTGACGCATCTTTTGGAAAGAAATATGTAAGCATTTGTGGAGAATAAATGTAACTTCCTTAAGAGAGGCATTTTTGTTTGATATGTTGACCGATATAGCTCAAGCTTCTAAAACATCCCTGGGAACAGATTCATGCATGTACTCAATACATAGTGGTTGACTATGCAAGTTGGTCTGTAAGACTGTGTGCTATCATTTCGCATAGTGAGAAAAGATAAATACCTTAGTATAAATCCAAATTTGGAGGAAACTATTTTTGTAAAGGCCATGCCATTGCTTAGCTTATTCTCTCTGGTCTCTTTTCATGGCTTGATGAAAAATAATTTGACCAAGTCAATATGATAAAAAATCAGATGGTAAACAAAGAACCAGATAAGGGCTGATTTGTTTGAAAATGGATAATTTCATGCCTGGCAGTGATTTTTCAAATCCCAGAAGCTGGGCTGTATGATGAATAATGGGCATCAGGATTGGAGGAAGGGTCCTTAATCTGTGATGTGCCGGTGATGCAGCCTTGCTTCTCGTAAGCAAGGGGACTTGAAGCACTTGCTGATGAAAATAAAAAACTAGCTGTGTATGGATTACACCTCCATAGAGGGATAATAAGAATCCTTGTAAGCTGACCAAGAAGCAATATCAGTAGGAATTCAGAAAATATTGGAGTTGTCAGAAATTTCATTGCGCGTGGATCCACAATTGGTGTCCGTGGAAGCAGCAGTTAAGATATCCAACGATTTATTGCTCTAGAAAATCGTGTTACAAGAGACCTATTTAAAGCATCCAGAAACAGAGATGTCACTTGAAAGACTAAAGTGCACTTGACCTTTTGAGAATGATGAGGGCAATGAATGTACAAATGTGCTTGACACAATTGATGTATGTGTGGATTGTGATAAGAGTTGTATGAGCCCCGAATAAAATAAATAATAAATAAATAAAGTGCACTTGACCCAAGCACCTCAAGTGCATGTGAAAATGGGATGATGAAGAAGGAAGACCAAAGAACAGTCGATGCCCACGAATTATAAGACTGGCGAAGAATATACCTGGGACTGCCAGAAGAACAAACAAACCTGTGTCGGAAGAAGTACAGCCAGAGGGCTCCTTAGAAGTGAGGAGGGCGAGCCTTTGTCTCACCTCCTTTAGACATGTTCTCAGGAGGAAACCCCAGGCTGGGAACAGTTGAGGGTCAGCATGCAAGAGGGAGGTCCTCAGCAAGGGGAGTTGACGGGGTGGCTGAAACAATGGGCTCTAAAGTCACACTGGTGAGGATGGGCAGTGCTTCATGCTGCGGTGCACGGGGTCCCTGGGAGTTGGACCTGCCCGGGTGTGACTTCACAGCAAGAGTGATCGAGGAACATCACAGGTTCCATTACAGTCATTGAGGTCTAGAGGCTAGAATTTTTAGGGTCTCTCATTTTAGATTAGTTTTTAGAAGGTTTGAACCTTAAATAGTCATCACTGAGGGATCAGTTAGAACAACAAAAATTCTTACGTAATTCCACTTTGTGCAAAAAATGAAAATAAGCACAAATGAAAACCCTAGATAAGTGGTTTAAAAGAAACTAGAAAAAGACATGAGAAAATATCCCCCACCAGCTTGCAATGGATGCTTTTGATTAGGTGATAAGTGGAAACTTGCTCCATGAAATTTGGTTGTCAAGTGCTTTGAAAAGGAAAACAATAGAAATGGCTTCCCAACCAGCCTGACTGCAAGCTTTCTGTGAGCTGTTGCACGTTTACATATTTTGGAAGGCTTATCTTAGGGAAGGTTTTTGAACAGATGTATTGAGACTCTTAGGGAACATAAGATCCCAAGGCATATGGATATCTTTACCCTTGGCTGACCAAGAAACCACAGAAGAGTGTTCATTATTTTGAGTGCTTAATTTGAAATATGTTTCCCTCCATAATCTTCTCTGTTGTACCATAAAGAGCATATTTGCATTTTTACACTCTACCTTATCTGTAACATTCAGAATTTATTGTGGTACCATTTAGTAAACACTGCCTGAAGACGTCTTTAGCGAGAAGTAGCCTGAAGTAACTGGGAACCATTCATTTAAGAGGTGAGCATTATACTAGGCATTGCAGAGCTAAAGGAAAACAAGTCACCTATTGAAGTGAGTGTTTTATTCTTTGAAGTAGGGAGAAGCTTTGTGACGTGTTGCACTCCGGAGGAGCCTCTGGGCTATGCACGTAGTTAAATACTCGAGCACTTGTCAGCACGGGTGGTTCAAATCCACCCAGATGTGCCTCGTGGTTCAAATCCACCCAGATGTGCCTCGGGAAATAGGATGGGTGATGCGTTCCTGAAAGGCGACAGCCTGGAAAACTGTGCCACAGTTCTACTCTGCACGCATCAGGTCGTTAAGAATTAGAATGGATTTGATGGCACCTGGCAAGTCCAGAGCAGACTGCCTAAGTTCAAATCCCAGCTGGGCTACTTTCTCGCTGTTACATAAACTCTTGCCTCCATATTCCAGTCTGTAAAATGCTCACGAGGTTATTGTGTGGATTCCATGCGTGAAAGTTAAGCACTGGGACAGTGACTGCCATGTAATAAGCATGTAACCCACTGACCAAAACCCATTGCTGTCATGTCAAGTTCAACTCTTGGCTACCCTATCCGGCAGAGTGAAATGTTACCTGTAAGGTTTTTAAGGCTATAATCTGTGGTTTGGCAGTACTGTGGACTGCCAGAAATTTTTTTTTTCCTTAAATCTAACTTGGAAGAAAGGATGGTGAGATTTCTGCTTTTATCCTTTGGAAATGTTATCAAGAGAGACCAGTCCCTAGTGAAGGACATCCTGCTTGGCAAAGTTGAGGGACAGCAAAAAATAATAAGGTCTTCAGTGAGATAGATTGACACAGTGGCTGCACCAATGGGTTCAACACAGCAACATTTGTGTTGTGCATAGACTTGACAGAACTGCGAACACACAACAGCAGTCATCTGTAATCTTTAGTAAGTCATATCTTTCTTTCATTCATGGAATGGCTGATGTGGCCACTGTGCCCCCGGGCTCCTAATAAGCACTCTCCATGTTTAATTTCAAAAGTCAATAAGCTTACAAATCTAGATGTACTGAAACAGTTCTCTTTGCTGGCTTGACATCTCCTGGATCTAGTCTTGGGGATAGAGGGCAACCATCGTGGGACAGGGCCTGTTGGCCCTCAAGGCTGTGACCAACTGCCCAGAATGTTGCCAGTGGTGCTAGGAAAATGAGTGGGCCAGGAAGTGTTTTGATTCATAGCATTTGCCAAGTCAGCGGTATACATATGCCTGTGGGTGGTGCTGGTAAGTTGATTCAGCTCACAGTGACAACACAGTAGAATGAAACCTGGCCTGGCCCTGCTCCATCTCCATAAGCTTTGCTGTGCTTGAGCCCATTGTTGCAGCGACTGTGTGGATCCATCGTACTGAGGGTGTCCCTCTTTGGGGCTGACCCGCCAATTTACCAAGCAGGATGGTCATCTCCAGAAGCTAGCCCCTCCTGGTAACATGTCCAAAGTACAACAGCCTCTCTTCGAAAGAACATTCTGGCTGTACTTCTTGTGCGACAGATTTGAGAGTCCATGGTAAAATCAATTTTTGTTCACCCATGTCATAATCCAAAGACATCAATTTTTCTTTGGCCATAATTACTCATTATCCAGGTTTGCTGTGTTCTTGATGCCTCGTTAGTCTCCTTATAGTCCAGCTTCTTGGAATATTTGCTCAGCTTCCAGATTGAATAAGTCCGGTAAAAGGCTACATCCCTTAACAGTTGTATGAACCCCTAATAAAATGTTAAAAAAAAAAAAAAATGAGGAGCGGATACCAAGGGCTCAAGTAGAAATAAAATGTTTTGAGAATGAGGATGGCGACAAGTGTACAAATGTGCTTGACACAATGGATGGATGTATGGATTGTGATAAGAATTGTATGAGCCCCCAATAAAATGATTTAAAAAAGAAAAAAAAAAAAGGCTACATCCCTGACACACGTCTTTTTGCTTTTAAACCAAGTAGAGTTCTTTGTTCTGTCATCCCCAGTCCCCCCGTTGTTTCGGGGTCCACTGAATTGCATTTTATGTTATTGAACACATTATTATATTGTGGATGTACATTCCGCTGGGGAGAAACGAGCTTACTATTACATGTCACTTTTTTCTTTTTAATTAAAAGATCGTTTTTATTGGGAGCTCTTACAACGCTTCTTACAAGCCAGACATCAGTTGTATCAGCCATATTAGTGCATACATCGCCGTCATTCCTGTCTAGACATTTACTTTCTGTTGAGCCCTTGGACATGTCACTTTGTATTAGTCACTTTAAGTTCATCAGAGGAGCCCTGGTGGCACATATTGGGCTTCTAAGCCAAAAGGTCTGCAGTTCGAAACCACCAGCCGCTCAGGGTGAGAAAAACCAGGCTTTCTACTCCAGTAAAGATTCACAGTATTGGAAACCCAAAAAAGGGAAGTTGTGCTCGGTCCTGTAGGGTCGCTCCTAGTCAGAATCCACTGATGGCAACGAGTGTGTTGGTTTGTTTTAGCTGAAGTTCATCAAAGGCAGTGCTGCCATGACTGATACTTCCCATTCTTGTTCAGGTTCACCTACCAGCATCGCGGGGCTGCTGTTTTATGGTGGTACAAGGGCAAATACTTAAAGGGTCTTTTTTTTTTTTCACTTCCTCCTGATAGGCCCAGCCTTTTGTGGATTTCCCTTATAATCAGTGCGCAGTGGTTGGGAACGGAGGGATTCTGAATCAGTCTCTCTGCGGACCAGAAATTGATAAAGCCGACTTTGTTTTCCGGTAAGACCTGCCAGTTTGATTTGTTTGCAACAGAAGAGCAGATGGCTCTTTTTTTTGTTCGTCTGTTTGTTTTTTGTTTTTAAATCATTTTATTGGGGGCTCAGACAACTCTTATCACAATTCATACATCCATCCATTGTGTGTCAAGCACATTTGAGCATTTGTTGCCCTCATTATTCTCAAAACATTTGCTTTCTACTTGAGCCC